AATCAAGATCTGTTTCTCCACGTAGTTACTGAGTCTTTGGGCCTCATTTGGTAAAAACAAAAACAAAAACAAAAACAAAAACAAAACAAAGACTACAAAAAAAACCCAACTCCCTCCCCCCAATGGAAACCAGAGATTTTATAATGCAAAATGCTATTGCACTGAAGTAATTTAAGATGCTGTTTCATTACTCAAAGTCAAAAGTAGAATTTAAAGCCCTTCTCCCTCTGACCCTCCCCTGTCTCATGTGCTCTCTCTCTCTCATTCTCTCTTTCAAATAAATAAATAAATAAATAAATAAATCTATCTTAAAAAAAAATAAATTAAAAAAAAGCCCCTGAGTTACTAGTTGGTATACAGGAGATACATAGAAAACATTTACACTTATATTTCCCCCATCTCCCCACCAATCCATGTTTTCAGTCTCCTCATGGTGACTCCCAAAATATTCCTGAAATATGAATTACCCTATTTCCCAATTATCTCCATATCCAGTTAAAGCTGATTACAGCACAGTCCAGAGTAGAACTCAATCTGAGGGCAGCTGCTGTATTAGCTCTGTTTTTATAGGCCTAGAAGATACTTCTATTTATAGGGACATCTTATATTAGAACCAAGTAAGAAAGCCCTTGTTCTAGTCATGTGGAGCCATAAAACAAACTTCTGTCAAAAACAGAGAAGCTCGACATCCTAGCTGCCAAAGTAGGACCAGAGAGAATAAAGAAGTGAACTCTTTCAGGGATTCTTGTGATTGTGATTAAAACAATAACAAGATAACAGAACAAAAACCACCTGCTATGTGATTTTTTTCATACAGCAGCAAAATGACTAGGTACGGTGATAGGTCCTTAAGACAATATTACAAATGATATTCGTCACTCTGAGTTAACTGCTCACTGCAGGATGAGGGAACTGATTTCTACGTACTAACAACCGAACCATCAAATCACCCTCTTTTGCACTGAGGCTGTCCACAAAGAATGGAGGAAGACAATCCCATTTCATTCAACAGTTTACCAAAGAAAAATCAATGGTTGAGCAAATGTCCACCCTGGGGGGGGGGGGGGGGGGGGTTCTTGCCTCCTTAGAGTAACTATTAAAAGAAAGCTCTTGGAGAAGGAGACTCAGCTGATGAAGTCACACAGGCAGCTGGAGTTGCATGCACTGACTCCAGTCCCCATCTTCTCTGAAATATCAGCCACATATAGCAAAACAAGTGCAGGCATACCTCAGAAATATTGCAGGTCTTGTTCCAGACCACTGCAAAAAGTGACTCAAATGAATTTTCTGGTTTCCCAGTGCATATTAAAGTTATGTTTACTGTAGTCTAAGTGTGCAACAGCATTATGTCTAATAAACAATGTACATACCTGAAGTACTGTATTGCTAAAAAAAAATGCTAACCATCATCCAAGCTCTCAGTAAGTTGTAATCACTGATCACATATTACCATAATAGATACTAATGAAAAAGTGTGAAATATTGTGAGAATTACAAAAATGTGACACAGTGAGCAAATACTGTTGGAAAAATGGTGCTGACAAACTTGCTCTATGCAGGATTGCCACAAATCTTCCATTTGTATAAAAAAAGGGGGGGGCAATATCTGCAAAATTCAGTAAAGCAAAGCACAATAAAACAATGTACGCCTGTGAGGGAATTTGATCTGGGATACCAAGCAATATATCCTGGGCTCTACAAATTATTGATTAGAACGATCCTAGGCAAACACCACATCTGAGCTTTAGATTCTTCCCCTGCAAAATGAGATGAAGCAGCTGACCTACTTACTCCTCAGGTTTCTGAAGTCAAGAAACATATTTGTAATTACACAAAAAATTAATGGAACTATAAGCTCTTAGTTCTTGTCCTATAAGCCAAAAGCCAATCTACTAGTTAACAGTTGTCCATATCTACTCTGAACTAGACTACAAAAACATTAACATGACTTCTTATGTTTGATTAACTTAAGGCAAACAGAACTCAAAGCTGTTAAGAATTTTCTCCTAAATTTGAAAGCGCTTGAAGAATCCTCCTTACCACTTGGCTACTGCACCAAAAATCAAACAAACTGACTTAGAAAAATCCTTTTGTAAAGATCAGAGTTGAATGACAAGTACAAATTTCACTTGGAAAAATATCCCTAACATATACAAAATGCTGAAAACGACACACCAGCTTAACGGAGGTTTGGTACAGTGCTACTCAAAGGGCTGGTCCTGGTGAGATAAGGAGCTTATGCCAGATCATAACTGAAGCACCATTTCTTTCACTGGGAAGTCTTGCTACTCAACCCAATTCCCCCAAATCATCATTTGAACTAACAGTGTGACTAATGATGTAGTTTATTTTACATTCTAGCACAAGCAACATATTTATCTCATCCCATACTAGTAACCAACAGTTAATTCATGAATTAGCAGCTGGTTGCAGGCCACACCTGAGGGGAATACTGGTATACTATTTAGAAACAAATGTTTTAAAAATGTGTTAAAGTTCTTCTAATACCAAGAAAGGAAGAGAGAATTTCTCTGGATATTTCTATTAGATATTTCTATTAGAAAAAAAACCTCTTTTTACTGTTATAAAGACTAAATAAACCTGCTCTATACTCAGGAAAGTCCAAAGAAAAAGACAGTGTCTCAATAATCAGTGATAACCTTTGGTTTGGATTCCATCACTTCTTGTGGACTAATATAATATCCACCTCAGAGGCCCGGCTTCAATTCAGTTCTCTGCTGCCTATCTACACCCACCTGGTCACGTCACTTTTCCTGCTCTCAACCCTCTGAAGTCCCAACCTACCTACAAATCAGCCTAGTAAGCAACATCCTTCACCCTCAACTTCAGTTTTGTATCTTAGCCCCACCAGTACAATCCCAACCTCCTTCAGAGACTTCTCTTAGTCTTAAACCTTCCCCCACAGCCACACTAAGTTCTAAGCCACCTTCACAAATGCTCTCTCTCCCCCCATTTCTCTCCCCACTCTTGCACCTCCCACTTTCAGAGACTTTGACTTTCTCTCTCCCCCTCCCCACTGGCTCTTCCATAGCAGTTTATCCTTTTATCTAACCCTTGGTACATCTGCCTTGTGTTACTGGTATATGTATGAGTAGTATGTTTCTGGTTGGGGTGTAGTTTTTTTTTTGGGGGGGTATACCACAGATTTTAATGACACCTATAATTCCTGATGCTCCTGGGTTCTTAAGATATCTAGAGTCACCAGAATTTAAGACCCTTGAGAGCAGGGAATACATAGTCAATGCTGAGAACAATGCCTAGATTTTGGCAAATATTTAATAAATACTTGCTGACTGATTTGCTTTAATATACTCCAGACCAAAAAAAAAAAAACAAAAAAGAAAAAACCAAAGGGACTGAATAGATGCAACAAGACTAGAATAAATCAAAGTCCATTATTATACTATTCTTTCTACTTTTGTATGGGTTTAAAAATTTCCATAATAAGGGGGCGCCTGGGTGGCTCAGTCGTTAAACATCTGCCTTCGGCTCAGGTCATGATCCTAGCGTCCTGGGATCCAGCCCTGCGTCGGGCTCCCTGCTCCGCGGGAAGCCCGCTTCTCCCTCTCCCACTCCCCCTGCTTGTGTTCCCTCCCTCGCTGTGTCTCTGTCAAATAAATAAATAAAATCTTTAAAAAAAAAATTTCCATAATAGGGACACCTGGGTGGCTCATTTGGTTAAGCGTCTGCCTTTGACTCAGGTCATGATCCTAGGGTCCTGGGATCGAGTCCCGCATCAGGGTCTCTGCTCAGCGGGGAGCCCGCTTCTCCTTCTGCCTGCCATTCCCCCTGCTTATGCTCTCTTCTCTCTCTGATAAATAAATAAAATCTTAAAAAAAAAATTTCCATAATAAAAAGTTGGGAAACAATTATCTGTGTATAAGTCCCACTAGACTGTGGGCTCTTCTATGGCAGGGACGGTCTTATCTCTATAGCCTTTACAGATCTTTGCAGAGTAACAAAAGTTGATTGAATTGCTGAGTTAAGCTCTACTTCGTCCTTTTTCTCTTGTTCATTCTATTTTGTTTATTCTGCCAGAAGGTTGTCCCACCCCCAAAACAAGCCCTGGGAGGAATTTGAATCCAGAATGGTGAGGATAGGAGCCAAAGCATTCCCTTATGTCTGTCCTCTTCTGGTATGAACCCCACAAAGCCTAAAGGCTTTAGTGAGGATGTCCACTGGACCTAGCAGACTAAATTCAAGAGTTGGGATCTCACCACTTTTAGCCACAACAGCTAAATTGCCATATGCATCATGAATCTTCCCGTCCTCAAAATATAAAGATGATAACATGCTTATATCCTGAGAATGGTAAACTTGCTCATTCATGATAGCGGAGAGTTGGTAAATTCCAAATACGAACTTCTGAACTGCACCCACCCCCCAAAATGAGGACTGACTTACATGGTCTAAGCCTCTCAGCACAGTTGTTGTTAAACTACTCTCACTCTCCCATGGCAAACATCACTGCCATGCTACTGCCTACTAAGTATGGGAAGCTTCTACGCCTCTGGCCAACAAATATTTTAATCTACCTAAGCATCTGAGTTCAGTATTACCATTTGGCTATTAGTTCATCAAAATCTTGAACCTACACACACAAAACTGAAGTCATAAAGAGCACACAGAGCTAAAGCACATGATGAGAGGCACAATACAAAGAAATGAAGAATCAGGTGTCAATTCCACAGGTCTCTTAGTAGGTGGCCACAGCCAAATTAAAAAAAAAACAAACAAAACACCTGTCTAGCGAGCCTTCATTAAATGTCTAAAGATAAATGCCTAAATAAGCATGTAAATTTGCATATATGCAATAATAATCCCTTCCTATATAGCTCATAGTTAAACAATCAGAATGTCACAATTTCTACCCTCAGTTCATACTGATATGCGTGTATATTCATCCACACATTTTCCCCAAATTGTTATTTCAACTGAACCGAAGAAATTTTGAAAAGTTCTGTTTGTCCTCAACTTACAGCTTGTCCATTGGCTTCATAAAGTGGGCATTTTTGCTTGATCTTGGCCAGTTCCATATTTACTTGTTTGCTGACCACAGCCATGGGATTCCCTCCTAAAAAAAATTCAAATTATTAAATTCAACATATCTATGAAAAGAGAACACATCAAAGCAAAAGTATTTTTACTTGAAATTTAAAATACTCAAAGTTTTGGGTATGTGAATTATAGATTAAAAAAAATGCCCAGTAAAATAGTATGTAATATATGAAATATGTAAGATAAGCATAAAGAAGCAAAAAATTACCTATAACCCCATGTTAACTTTTTAAAAAATTTTTAAAAAGATTTTATTTATTTACTTGACAGAGACACAGCAAGAGAGGGAACACAAGCAGGGGGAGTGGGAGAGGCAGAAGCAGGCTTCCCGCAGAGCAGGGAGCCCGAGGCGGGGCTCGATCCCAGGATCCTGGGATCGTGACCTGAGCCGAAGGCAGACGCTTAAGGACTGAGCCACCCAGGTGCCCCAACTTTTTTTTTTTTTTTTAAAGATTTTATTTATTTTGACAGAGAGAGAGAGACACAGCAAGAGAGGGAACACAAGCGGGGGGTGGGGATGGGAAAGGGAGAAGCAGGTTTCCCACGGAGCAGGGAGCCCGATGTGGGGCTCGATCCCAGGACCCTGGGATCATGACCTGAGCCAAAGGCAGATGTTTAACGACTAAACCGCTCAGGCGCCCCCCATGTTAACTGTTTATTACAGATTCTAGGGGCGCCAGGGTGGCTCAGTCGGTTGGGTATCTGCCTTCAGCTAGGGTCATGATCCCAGGGGTCCTGGGATTGAGCCCCATGTCGGGCTCCCTGCTCAGTGGGGAGCCCGCTTCTCCCTACCCACCCTCCCCAGCTCATGCTTTCTCTTGCTATCTTTCTCTCTCTCAAATAAATAAAATCTTAAAAAAAAACCCAAACATTTTATTATAGCTCCTTCTAGATTTTATGTGCATAAAATTATGGACACACACACACACACACACACACACACACACACACACACACAAAGGATAACAATGCATGTACTGTTTTGTAATCTTTTTTCAAATTAGCAATAAACTGTGGCCATTATGTCATGTTACTATAAAGCTACATAATTTTTAGTGGCTGTATAGTTGTCTTTGTATAACAATATAATCCTCAGAACCATGGGTTCTAATGTTTTGCTATGCCACATTTAAAAAGCTCCAGGAGCACCTGGGTGGCTCAGTCGGTTAAGCCTCAGACTCTTGGTTTCGGCTCAGGTCGTGATCTCCAGGTTGAAAGATCAAGCCCCGAGATGGGCTCTGTGCTCAACTCAGAGTCCGCTTGAGATTCTCTTGCTCCCCCACTGCCCCTCCCCATTTGGGCATGTGCAGGCACCCCTGCGTGCACTCTCTCGAATAGATAAATAAAATCTTTAAACAAAAAATAAATACAATTTAGAAAAATTAAAAGCTCCAAACAACATGGTCCACTTATCTATTTTCTTAGGATAATTTCCTAGAACTGAGTCTGCTAGGTCAAAACATATGTACAATTTAAATTTTGCACATATCGATGTATCTTTTCAGGAAGACTATTTGTCAATTCACCTCTAACACTAAGAACAGTATCTTAAACCAAAATATTTTAAAACCACAATTATGGCTTTAAAACATAAGGTTAGTCATGAATCTCAGATCTAGTATAACAGCACAAAACTAAGGACTACTTACCAAGACCTGTCACTACCATAGCTCCAAGATCAGCTACATAGTTTCCTTTGCGAAATGTAGCAACTCGTCCACCCACTCGATCCTGTTTTTCAAAAATTAAATGGCTAAAATCATCAATTCTATTTTAACCATAAAAACCTGGCATGGTACCACCCCAGGCCTCTGTCTCTTATAATTTAAAAAGAAAGGTACAGTTTAGAGTGTACATGGCATGCAGTGTGGGCACAAAGAGCGAGTGAAGTTTAAGTATCTGAGTGGAAGGAAATGAATGACAGAGAATTAAGTGATAGGAGATAAATAATTTGACAGCCAGACATATTTAGCCATAGGTACTATTATCTCTCTACCCAGCTGTCTCTAATACCATTTACTGTAGAGGCTGAGCAAGGGCCACTCACACAGAAAGTATCTGTTCACAAATTGCAACACTAAATGCCATCTTTCCATCACCATGTTCTGACTTTCGCCCCCCCATTCCCAAAGTCAGCTGTGAATGACAGATGACTTCTCAAATGGTCCCCTAGTGCAGCCCCATACCCAGGGGCACAGTGTCTACTGAGCATAAACTTTTGACAGTATCTCTCATTCCTCAACAGGTCCAGTCCAAGTTTCTCTCTGCTAACTTGGGATTTTCAAGTAATGGGGAAAAATTACTGAGCTGTAGCGACACTTCAATCATGGATATTATGAGAATACTCTAACCTCCAAATAAATGAAAGCAAAATAAAACAAAAAACCTGTCTGTTAGATTAAGACTCTGCATGGGTAGGGATCATAATGGTCCCATTATTCATTACTATATTGCTAATACACAGGACAAGAGGGCACGCAAATGTTTCCTAAATTATCTATAAAATATTTTTAGCAAGACTATATTAAAAATTATTTTGATTTCTCCATACTTTATTTGAAAAGAATATTTTTAAAAATTAACAATTTACAAAAAAGCAACTTAGATGTACTGCACAAAACATTTTGAAAGCTTCTATAAAATTTTAGATCGTTTAGGTTATCTGAGAAGTGTTTTTTTGTTTTTCAAATGGTGTAAGTCCAGGGAGGCCTATAAGCCACTGGAAGATAACTAAATGTCAAAAATCACTCATGAAAATAATTTGAATAGTAGCATCTTAACATGATGTTCTTTCTCCACTCTGTGCCATCATCCCTTTCCTCCTTCAATTTCCATTTCTTTCTAGGACTGATGATAAGGGAACCAACATATCTTGGCTGCATTAGGCACTAAGAGATGGCTGCTGCCTGAGATGCACTCCTTTTCTTTTACTATCAAACAGGGAATACAATCCACTCTGTTCCACCACTAAAAATACCTGCCACCTACAAAGGGCACGTCCATGAAGGCCCAAAATTTGAGAATTAACTACAAGAAACAATAACCTGAAAATATCCATCAAAGGGCTACATGGACCATTTACAAACTCTAAATACTCACTGAGCACCTTTCAAAGCTTCACTGTCAAAAATGCTTTATCCAGTGTAAGTAACAATTATCTAAAATACTTTGAGTAGTATATAAATCAGTTTGGTTTAGTTCAAGCTGTGGGACTCATTAATTTGCAACAGATAATTTCTTACTGCGTTGATAAATACCTATTTTCATTAGGTCAGGCTTCTAAACACAATATAAAATTCTTACCCGGGCTTCCAGAAGTGTGACATCCATTCCGAAACTTTGTAATTGACGAGCCGCTGCCAAGCCTGAGACCCCAGAGCCTATAATAATTACCTTTCCTGTCTTTTTAGCTAAAAGTAAAAAACGAATAAAAATTACAATATTTTGTTGTAGGTTTAAGAGTTTATTTTACCATTTTTTACATCATGAAAACCTCTAGGTTCTCAACATGTCATGATGTCTTACAAAGTAAACACTTCACTTATTTTCAAAATAGAGAAACTATCTGAATACAAATTAGCAAATATCTGAAACTTGTAAACTTTAATTCAATGTTAAAAATTTATAAATGAAATCCTTTATCTTTAAAGATTTACTTTCTCATTATACCATGATCATGTGCTTTGGTATCTGTGACTGTTAACTTATTATGAATAGTCTGCTTCATTTATCTCACAATTATACTAGGACAATTTGATAGCCAAATTATTCTTAAAGCTGTTTTCCTTAAGCTCTGCTTCTGCTGTCTTTACTTTCCCTTTTTGAAGGATTATTAAAGCATCAAAAACAAATTAATTAAAATAAATAAAAGTGTTAAGTCTCAAAATATCCCTAAACCCTGGACTCCTGGCAGTATAAAGAACTGGTTAATGAAAGAAAACCTCAAATCTCTGCTTTCATAATGGACTTCTCTCGTTTTTAACAAATTTTGTTTTCTGATTTTTCTTATATTGGAAATTCAGTATCTTTCACCAAAGTACACTTATCAAACCAGAAATTACAGGCAATGCATATTTATGAAGAGATTTTACTTTAAATTTGACATATAATGAGATAAGCTTGGGAATACTGGACTCCAAATTTAGACTTAGAAATCAAAATAAAATGCTAAAAGCCTCCTGGAAATAAAAGAGAGTCCTAGAACTGTAACTTAAAACTATGAAGTCCATCTGCCAGGTCCTTACTTGGTAGGGGTTTTATCCTCTTATAGATGCCGAAGTTGATTAGACCGTGACGCTCTAAATAACTGTGAACTCGGTGGACAAGCACAGTATCACCTACAGAATAAATGAATTTTAAAACATGTTCATATTTTTAGCAGTTTAAACAGAAAGCTCTTTAACTCTTTTGTTTTTCCATCATGAAGTTATTCTATACATATTTTCCATAAGCTTCAAATCATGTGATTCCTTTAGAAAAATGATTCCTAGAACTATTAGTCTGTGATGTAGTCCAAAATGCCTATCACATAATTTGGAATTTTTAAGAATGACATTCCATTATAGATGAAAAAAAAGGATAAAACCAACCCTTTTAAAAGTAGTATTATAATCAGTTACTTTGGCAAAAACTTTTCAAGACTTTGTGGGTGGTAAATGGAAAATGAGAAAGCCAGCCAATCAAATGTCAACAAAGTACTCCAGGGATTAAAGCTGGAACATAGTCCTGGTGAAATTACTAGCAATCACTTAACTCACAACTTAAAAACCAAGAAAATCATTACAAAGACACATAACAGTTTCCTATAAGGCTTATTTTTGCATAGCACAAGGTAAAGTAAGATGGTAATATGAATTGAAAAAATGCATTATCAATGAACCATGAGCCAAAACTAGTCCCACTGAAAACACTACTTACTGTTGTAAGGAGCTTCTAATTGTTGGAGGGTAGCCTCAAAGGTCAGCTGAATCTTTGGATTATCCAACCACAACTGCAACTGTATTTAAATGACAGAAATTTTATTACACAAGTAGACACAGACCACTTGACCACTTTAAAATATCTTTTCAACTTTAAGGCCTCTAAAACACAGGCTTTCCTTTCACTGAAACAGAGGGTTATATTCCTGACAAACCGAGGAAACACAAAACCATGTCAAATGAGTAAATTACTGAAGAAGCTGGAAGATATTTCAGCCTAAAACAAAAAACCAAAAAACCTAGTAACTTGCCAGTATCATACAGCTGGTAGGGACCAACTAGGATTTAAACTGGGTTACATGACTCCAGAGATACTGAGTAGATAAAAATCCACAAAATCCAAAGATCAATCAGATATGTAAAGGTGGAGGGGAGGGAAGAGGTACCAAGGATATCTCCAGTTTTTAGCCTGCGCAACTAAATGAGTCGGTATGCTCTTCACTAAATGAGCGCCACTGAAAGAAGAGGTGAGTTTGGTTTCAAGACAACCCAGAGATACAAGATTGGCATCTAGATACGAGCTAGGATTCTGAGGAGAGTTAAGGTCTGGAGCTATTTGCTTATGAGTGATAACTGAAGCCAATGTGCAGAAGAGGCCTCTTCAGGAGAATATACAGCAGGGGGAGGAAAAGACCATAAGGAGCCTTAAGAACTCTAACCAGTTCACATAATGGCCTGTTTTTAAAGATAAGCCTACAGGGGTGCCTGGGTGGCTCAGTTGGTTAAGCGTCTGCCTTCGGCTCAGGTCATGATCTCAAGGCCCTGGGATTGAGCTCCACATTGGGCTCCCTGCTCAGCAGGGAGGCTGCTTCTCCCTCTCCCTCTGCCTGCCACTCCCCCTGCTTGTGCTCACTCATGCTCTGTCAAATAAATAAATAAAATCTTTAAAAAAATAAATAAAGATAAGTCTACAAAGCTGTCAGAGAAGATAACAACCAGGGAGGGAGGCAGGAGAAGAACCAGAATACTGTGTTAATCTAAGGGAGTTTAAGAGAAGGGAAGAGAAGTTTAAGAGTTTAAGAGGAAAGGAGTAGTCAATTATTTTAAAAACTGCTGAAAAAGCACTAAGATAAGGAATGAAAAATATTACAGTACAATCAATAGGCTCTAACACAAATGCTCTTCAAATTGAATAGGCAAGACCAACTAAATGCCACCATGTTTAAATCTTAGCTAAAAATTAACTGCTCCATAGACAAGTTTCAACAAAGAAACATATGGCTATGTGTAAATAAATCCAATTACAAAGAGATATGACCAAATTCATAAGCACCCTCTACTTTTCTCGGTGACCACTGTCAAGGCAAAATGGACTTCCTCAAGTACACACCAGGCCCAAGTTCCTCACCCCTCAACATAAGCCTTCTTCCTCTGTCCATCCTATGAAGAAGAAGAAAAAAAAAAAAACAAAACTCGGGTCGTAGTTTTTAGCTCAATAATCCTAAAGTTGTTGTGGTTTCAAAATCTGTAAGCAAAAGAAATGACACAATTCTTATAAGAGAATGACTTATGTTCAGTTTTATAGCCAGAGGCCCACAACTCTAACTTGGGCCAGTCCTTCCTTCCCCAAATCTGGATTTTGGTCACAGAATATAAATCAGAGAAAACAGAGGTCACTGTAAATCCACCACTCAAATTCAAGAGTGAAAACTTCTCTCAGATGACACAAAAAAATGACCTTATCTAAAAAATACACTTCTAATTAATTAACTAATCAATTTTAAGTAAGCTCTACATCCAACGTGGGGCTTGAACTCACAATCCTGAGATCAAGAGTCGCATGCTCTACTGACCGAGCCAGCCAGGTACCACCTAAAAAATCCATTCAGATCAAATGTTGATATGTTATACACAGAAGCCGATTCTAAGACAAATAAGCGTCAGAAATATACATTAAGAATTTCCCATTCACTTTTTAAAAAAAATCACCGTTTTTTCTTCACTCAAAAATCCCTTAATTCTGGGGGCGCCTGGGTGGCTCAGTCGTTAAGCGTCTGCCTTCGGCTCAGGTCATGATCCCAGGGTCCTGGGATCGAGCCCCACATCGGGCTCCCTGCTCAGTGGGAAGCCTGCTTCTCCCTCTCCTTCTCCCGCTGCTTCTGTTCCCTCTCTCTCTGTGTCTCTCTCTGTCCAATAAGTAAATAAAATCTTAAAAAAAAAAAAAATCCCTTAATTCTGTACTATGAAAACCCAGTATAACCCACCACTCACTCTAGCTAACAATCTAAATTCAGCAGGGGTTTTGCAAACTAAGAGCCGAAATAAAAAAGTTAGTGGTAGCTAAAAAGCAGACATGCTAAATGACATCTCTGAGCTATACTCAAAGTAGCTAAAATCAGGTGCAGCTGGGTGGCTCAGTCGTTAAGTGTCTGCCTTCAGCTCAGGTCATGATCCCAGGCTCCTGGGATCAAGCCCCGCCATCAGGCTCCCTGCTCCCTGCTCCGGGAAGCCTGCTTCTCCCTCTCCCACTCCCCCACTTGTGTTCCCTCTCTCCTGTGTCTCTCTCTGTCAAATAAATACATAAAATCTTTAAAAAGAAAAAAAAGTAGCTAAAATGACAACATAAATTTCTTTTACTTTGTATCACCCTAGAGTATAATGAATATGTTCTGAATAGTACCTTGTCCTCCCTCTACTCTGGCTAAAAAATTTCTGATGAATAAAGGCTATGAAAGAAAAATTCACAGAAGAAATACAAATGACTAATAAATGTGGAAAAAGTCAGTCTAAGTAATTAAAGAAATGGAAAAGAAATGAAAAACTTTTAGTCTATTTATAGCAGCACAGATTATCATTGTTATAACAACCAAAGCAGGGGCAGAGCAATAGGGATGTCGACTGATTCAGTATCTCTGGGAAGCAATCTGACCATACCCATCTCTATCTATCTATCTATAGCTATCTATCTATCTATCTGTTTTTAGGTTTTGATAAGGTAGTTTTCCTTCTAGAACTCCATCATAAGGAAATTATAACCAGAGATAGAGTCAAGAATGTATAAAGCTGTTCAGAGCTTAATAAAGCACAAATGGACATATAAATGCCTAACTTACATTATGATCCAACTGTCAGACAAAATATTATGCAGACATTAAAATCAAGCATTTAGGAGCCCCTGGGTGGCTCAGTCGGTTAAGCATCTGCCTTCAGCTCAGGTCATGATCCCAGGGTCCTAAGATCAAGCCCCGCATCGGGGTCTCTGCTCAGCGGGGAGGTCTGCTTCTTCCTTTCCCTCTACCCCACCCTGCTGTGCACTCATGCACTCACACACTCTCTCTCATGCTCTCTCAAATAAATAAATAAATAAATAAGTAATTTTTAAAAATAAATAAATAAATAAAAGCAAGCATTTAGCCAGGAGGAGGTTGAAGCAGAGAAGCAGAACAGAATAAGAGTTTCTCTTATTATGATTATTTAAAATTTTAAAAAACATGTCGGGGGGGCACCTTGCTGGTTCAGTCAGTTGAGCACTCAACTCCTGGTTTTGGCTCAGGTCATGATCTCAGGGTTTTGAGACTGAGCCTTGCAGCTGGCTCTGTGCTGGGTGTGGAGCCTGCTTAAGATTCTCTCTCTCTCCTTCTCCCTCTGTCCTTGCCCTCCTTAAAAAAAAAAAAAAAGTTTCGGGGCACCTGGCTGGCTCAGTCAGTAGAGCATGCAACTCTTGATCTCAGGGTTGTGAGTTTGAGCCCCACGTGTGGCCTGGTTTACTTAAAATAAAAAATTAAAAGTTTATGGGGCGCCTGGGTGGCTCAGTCATTAAGCATCCTCCTTCAGCTCAGGTCATGATCCCAGGGTCCTGGGATCGAGCCCCGCATCGGGCTCCCTGCTCTGCAGGAAGCCTGCTTCTCCCTCTCCCCCTGCTTGTGTTTCCTCTCTCGCTGTGTCTCTCTCTGTCAAATAAATAAATACAGTCTTTAAAAAAAAAAAATTAAAAGTTTAAATGAAGATTCATGTTTACAAGGTTATGAAGAATGAAAAGGATCCAAAGAATGTATGGAAATAGCATTTCAATTTTTTAAAAACAAAAACTAAATATACGTTTAAAAAAATAACTGAAGGGAGGGCGCCTGGGTGGCTCAGTTGGTTGGGCGACTGCCTTTGGCTCAGGTCATGATCCTGGAGTTCCGGGATCAAGTCCTGCATTGGGCTCCCTGCTCGGCGGGGAGTCTGCTTCTCCCTCTGACCCTCCCCCCTCTCATGTACTCTCTCTCATTCTCTCTCTCAAAATAAATAAATAAAATCTAAAAAAAAAATTAAAAAAAATAAATAACTGAAGGGAAAAAACTAATTTTTAACAATGGTTACCTCTGGGTAATGGTACATGTTATAGATAATTCTGTAATTCTTCCCTCTTTTTTCCCTCATTTTCCATAAAAGTATTATGTGCTTTTTAGTAATCCAAACAGAAAAAAAGCTGACATGGAAACTTACTGTGCGGTTTCTAATGAACAGAAAAACCTTCTGGGTCTGCTGCGGTCCACTGATGATATCTGGAAAACAGGCTGCTTCTTGAGAAGTCATCCGGTCATGAGGAAGTCTACTCTGGAAAGCTGCACCCTCCACACCTAGCAAAGAAAGCAAAGGACTTCTGGGAAAAGTGCAAGTGAATACAAAACCAGGGATAATGAAACTCCTTTTTTGCCTGAAGAACCTCTGTAAAGCTCTGCCTCATTCACAGACTGATCTCATCTCCTTTAAAATAAAAATCTTTTATTTTGCTCAAAAGATGACACATCTTTAGAATTTACTTACTCTTTTGAGCGTAATATTCCAAAAATTACATTTACTAATGAGTGGAACAATGTACCTCCGAAAACATAACAAAGCATGCAGCGTATTTTCTTCATCCACAAAACAGCTTTATAATACTGGAAGATACTCTAATTAAAATTAGCATCACTGATAGTGTTCCCAAAATCTTAAAACTAAGGAACGAGAATAAAGGAAAATACACTAAAGGAAAGCAAAAGAGACTAGAGTGAAAAACAACCACATGCCTTCTTTTAAAATTAGAGCAGGGAACATGGAGAGGACTTTAAGGTTTAATAACCAACAGTAAGAAATGCATGATTATCTGGTCAATGGTCCCATCCATTAGTTCCCATAATGCAATGCTGGCAGTGAGATAAGTTAGGCAGACTACAATGAGGACAGAAGCAAGGAATTTACCTTGCCCAGCAAAAACATTAGAGACGATTTACTACACTACACAAGTATGTTACTGCATATACTATACACTACATATACATACAATGTACACATGTTCTCTGTACAGGTAAAATAGATATTATTTTGAAACTTTTACAACTGGGTATTAAATCGATTATTTTTATAAGCTGATAGTTAAGTACATCTCTATAAGATGTCCTTAGAAACACATTTACATGTATTCTACCTGTATTTCTAAGATCACCCTATAAAAGATATTTAACCACCAGCTTATTAAAATATCAAGACATAAAAGAGTTTCAAAATTCAATACCACTGAATTATATGTAAGTAATGAAATAGGCACCCACCGATATCTGTATTTAATCATTTAAATCACATGAAACAAGAAGTTAGAAACACTGATACTGGAAACAAAATTAAAGGCAAGGCAGGGTAAGATTAAGAAAATAAAAAGAACAAGGCAGATATAGATATAACTTAGAAAACGAGAGCTAAGTTATTAAAGTGCTGTCTCCACAAAGACATGTATAAACAATAACTTGGACAACAGTGGTTAACAAGAGGTCAAGCAAAAATGCCTAATGCTAATATGAGCAGCACATTAAACAATATTCTTGGGAGAGAAGGAAAAAAATCTACCCACTCACAGTAGAGAATAAGGGCACATGTACTACACTCACATTACTAAATCAAATCAACAGTTCTCTCATTTAGTGAATCTCAACTTAAAGACTGTCAGGACAATTAATTATTCCCTAAGGAAAAAAATAATCAGTAAGAGCCAAATTGTTGAGAGTGGAACATGAAATTAAGGCAAGGAGAGAAGAAATGCTGGCAACAGGGGTCTAGGTTATTTCAGTAATGTGAAATTTTCTAAAACTACACATAGCTTTGATGTCCCTAGTGCCTTACCCGCAATCAAATAAACAAAAAATAAGACCAAGAACAAAAACATGACACATTATAATGAGCATTATCTATACAATAATCCCAAGGACTCAAAGATCTCTTAAAATAGGTTACCTTCATAAGTGTATACTACTGACATGAAAACCAGTGAACTCTATAAACTGTACTCCTCGCTCCCCAAAACAGGTAGTTTTCTTAACCATACCTTCTACATGCTTATTAAGTCATCACTGACCATCAATCCTGCTGCAAAATACTACCGTCAACGACAGTCAAAAAAAACCATGTAGGGAAAGACACTAAATTTTTTATCACATTTGGCTCCTCACTCTAAGTACTCTTATTATCAAAAACTACTCTAAATTAGTTGGCTGACTTTGGGAATCTTGAGACTATGTAACAATTAAATATTATTTACATTAAGTCATGTGGCAGTTTTAAAAGTATCTTTAAATCAAACAACAAATGATTAACAAAAGGAATTAAAGAAGCCAAAAATTGTGACACTAATGTATGTGTGGAACAATAATCATCTCCATCTCTATCTTCTACAAAACATCTGAAAACACCTAGTTATTCTTAAATACTTGTCAATTTTTAAAAATGAAAAACAGCTTCTAAAAACTCAATAATTATTTTATTCCTTTTTGTTTTTAGGTTTGAAGACTTATTTCAAGGAAGACCATTATCAATATAAAGATGAAAACTGTGTAAGAAAAAAAATCTAACCTTTTATCAAAGAAACAAAAAATTTTAAGTTGGAACCCACGCTATTCAGAAGCTAAATCAAACCACTCTTTTAATAGGATACTTCCAAAATGAACTAATAGGCCATTCTGGACAATATGACTCATAAGTATCTCCTTTAGAGGGAAAAACCTTAAAGAATACAATTGACTTTAATAATATCCTTATTAAAAGGAAGTACATTTCATTCAAAAGTAATTTATACTTAGAGTTTGTGTGTACTTAACAAAGTCTGGTATTCTGGAAATTGAGAATGTTTCCAAGATGCAACCTTAATTTTTTAAAAGCCCCAAGGCTGCCTATATATCTTGTCCCCTCAGTTCAATTCCTTTTTCCCCCCACACTTCACACAGGAAATTCCAGCATCACCTTTCAAAATGCAGTCATGCTAAAGCAGAAATGCCCTTTCTAATGGTCTGACTGGCTCAGTTTCTCTGAAAACACAGTAAAAGTCGTAAAATGCTTAAGGGACTATAAAGACCTTTTTTGATAGATTAGCCACGCAGAGAAGGGGCAGGGGAAGGTGAGGATATAAATCCTCTACTCCACCAAACGACTTCCTCCCTGATTCTGATGATATAGGTAGCATTTGAGTAGAGTGAGGTAACAGAGATATAAAAAATAACAGAAAGGAGGCCTCCATGAAAGTTACTTGCCTTTTTTTTTCATGAAGTAGACAAAATAACTAGAATGACTAGTTTTCTAGTTGAAGAGTGAAAATAAAAGCCTGACAAGAATCTACATATAAAAGACTACTTAAAATTAGTAAATTACAGATGCACCATATCCAGTCCTATAATAAAGACAAAAAGAATAAGGAACAGAGGGAAAGGAGAGAAAAAGAAAAAAAGAGAATCATATGATTTCTTATGCTTTACATCTTTTATTTTTAGGGTAAACATACACTTTAAATGATTCTCTGAGGGAGGGGAGGGGAGGGTATAACGACTAGTCTACACATAAGAAAGAAGACCTCTGGGTTCCCTTCCTCCAACCTTTGGTGTAACCTCGGTCATACCATTTAACTGTATTTCAGGTCTAAATCCATAAAACAGGGGTGGATACAGTATTATCTGTTTGACGGCAGGAAGCTGGAGAAAATGACCTTAAGTACCCTTCTAACTTTTAAGATGTAGGATGAATACATCAACTTGATGTGGATTTATAAAAGTCAAGATATGATCCTGGTCCCAAGATACTTATGAGGGTCATTTGGCTTTATTAAAAACAGAATGTTGATCGCTTACAAGCGATCTAACTGATCATCTCACAAATGCACGCTTCTGAACATGGCGAAGATCTGAAGAGAGACCTTGAAGGGTTCAGAATAGTCCCCACCATTCTTGGAAACACTTTAAAAACAAAACAAAACAAAACTCATGTTCTACTAAACAGTAAGTCAGAAGCACCAGTTTTATATGAAAGTGTTTTTACTTTCAGCAATATATTGTTTACTAAAGCAAAAGAGTAAATTTATCCACGTTAAAACAAAAAGCAACAAGAAAACTCAATTTATTTCTTCAAGATTAAAGCTCTAAAGGCTATCCCTGATCCTCAAAAGTTCCATGGAAGATCCAATTGTGCATCATCTGATGAACAGCATTCTTGAAGGTTTATCTGCCACAGAGACTCTGAACGAGGATTTTAACTCCTCTAAGATAACCATGTACTGATTATCAACCTCCAATCCTTGGGATAGCATTTAAACATGTTTACTTCTAACATTCTGGATCACCTATATACTAATTTCTGCATTAACAGTGAACTTTGACCCAAGAGTAAAATACAAATATTTCCTGGACCTGCTGTACACAACTGCAAAAGAGAAATAATTTTAAAGCAGACTTAACAGTTGAAAAGTGACAAACTCCAAAGTGAAGTAATACCTATTCCAGTTCTATCAAAATGTATGTATCAGTCAGCTTTGAGCACTGAACCACACAAAAACATCCAGGGCAAAGGATGAAATCCAGACATACTACTTTGAACTCCTGGAACAAACTTGAATAGCTCTGGATGGGCCCTATAAATCATTTAACCCTTTACTTTTTCCTAGAAGTAAAAATATCATAGTTCAATCTGAAAAGAAAGAGCATTTCGAATAGACTTTTAAAAAAATGATTAATTTTGACGTGACAAAATGTTTAAACTACAAAATAATTAACCATGTAATGTTAATTAAAAAATTGTACCCAACACTATCTAACAACCACCTCTGAAGAGTCCCTTGCCTGCATAATTCCTCTGACTAGTCCTAGAAGGCCTTTCTGTCCGCCCCCCCCTTTTTTTTAAGGCTTCTGGCTTCTGGCTTCTCCTCTCTGTGTATATAACTATATTTCTTTTTAAAGGTCCCATGATTCCTAAATCTATGTTTTATATCATGTTTACTGCTACTATAAAAGCTGCCGGGAAGAAAAGGACCCGCCATCTCCTCAAAAACATGAAGAGCGGAGGGCTGAGATCGGCCTGAGGACTTCAAAAGGTTTTGCTTGCCTTTGTTCTGGCTAACACTCTCTCCTATTCCACTACGCTGTCCTAAGGGTTATATTTCCCCTGCGCTTCTGGCTAAAATGTGGATACCATAGCCAAAAACACTTGCAAGCATCAATCCCTGACTTGGCGGCTCTTGCTACTAAGTGGCAAGCATCTAATGCCACCCTCACCTGATGCTTGGCCGTCTCCATACCCTCCAGAACTGTCGTCTTGAAGTCCTCCTGCTTGCCCTGTGGAAGGAAAGAGGAGAACTCAGGGACCTTACTCCATAAATTAAGATAATTATCTGGACATAAAGGCCTAATAGTTGGCGACTCACAAATTCACCAACTAGTAAACCCATATTCAGAGAGCTCCTTCTTCTTGAATCAGGCCCAGGGAATCACATCATAGTCTTCCAAATTCTGGTCAGAAAATTTAAACTTTACACACTGATTCTTGTTGAAAGGTAGAAGAATGAAGTACATATAGTATTTCTAATCACTAAATCCTTGCTGTCAGTCTTACTTAAGTCAAGGTTGGTTGGGGGGAAAAACGAATTCCAAACGTCTTTTACTACTTGTTGCTAGACTGAGAGTTAGGTGTCACATGGACTCTAGGGTCTAGAGCTGCAACAATTCAGCATCTCCTCAATCTCCCTTTATCTTTACCTTTCTATCCACAAAGAATATACTTAAACAACAAGCAAAAGACATAGTTTTAATGAAAAATATTCCCTTTGACTTCAAAACAGGGACTGTAAAGATTCAGCACCAAAACAGATTTCATTTACTATGCATGCTAGACAGCACTAGATCTGAATACGCCAGTGCTTCCTTAGTAAAACTTTCAAACACACCACAAGACACCCTGCAGTCATATGCCAAGTAATGTAGATAGACACATACAGTGGGGGCTGGGGGGAAGGCAAGATATGGGGGAGCTTCTACTTCAAGCTACACAATAAACCAGCTAACAGATTTTCCTCATTGACTAATATGTAGAAATAACTTCAAGGAAAGTATCAAAGCTTGAAAGTTCAATCCGACAAAGTCAGAACAGATCATCTTCCAGATTCTTCCAAAATCTTATCACCAAGACAGATGCTATGATCTTAAGCTTCTAGCTACCTGGTACACTATGAGAAAACTATAGCATGATCTTTGAAAGATGAAAACACTCTCCAATGATCTAAAACTTGACAAGCTTTTAATTGATTAAAAGAATCTCAACAAGAAAGCAGACTGATTAACCATTATTTGAATTAAAAGGGAGCAGGAAAGTGAAAATGACATCTCTATCCTCATGTATTTGAAGGTGTTTAGATAGAAATGATTTTTGACATTAGAATGTGTTACTAGAAGCTGTATGTTCTGAGGCTAGGACAGAATCTCATTCTAAAATTATTTCACTATGCTCTTGTGTGAAGGGCCCTTGAGGTTTTAGAAGGGTATGGCTTTCAGACAAGGCTAAAGATATATGATCTGTTGTTAACAGTCTTTGGAAAAGGGCGTTAATTATGAATAGATGATGACTCCTTACAAAATCCAGTCTGCAAGCATCGTGAAAATGTAGGCCCTACATTTAAAATTTTACTTTTAAAGTTTAAATAAGGGGTGCCTGGATGGCTCAGTCGGTTAAGCGACTGCCTTTGGCTCAGGTCATGATTCCAGGGTCCTGGGATTGAGTCCTACATCTGGCTCCCTGCTCTTGGGGAGTCTGCTTCTCCCTCTCCCACTGCCCCGCCCCCCTGCTCGTGCTCTCTCTTGATCTCTCCCTCCCTCTCAAAATCTTTATTGGGGGAGGAGGGGGAAGGGCTCAGAACAATGAAATAAATAGTTTCCAAGAATAACATTTAAGCACTAGGAAAAATATAGCTCCTGACTCCCTCAAATTATGTACCCCGGTTGGCAAAGAATGAAAGCTACAGTCTCCTGTCACGAAGGCATCTCGCCACTTCTAAAAATAAAAAAAACCACTGTCAAGCTAGCCATTAAGTCCTGAATTATTTTATCCTTCCTATTTCTATCATTTGCTTTCTCCCACTATATGTCATACAGTATGCTAAATTAATTTATTTTAACATACAGGCAGCTCTTGGCTGTTTTCTGTCATGGTCTTTAGACCAAGAAATCCATAGAAATACGGATTTCTTAAGCCTGATTTCTGTGCTCAAAAGCCCAACAAGGTTGCTCTTTTACAACAAGGTAGGGAGGTCTTTTTTGTCTTCTGCTTTTGAAAAAAGGAACAAGACTCACATGCTGTTCTTGGATAAAAATATGTAGAAGTAATATGAAAAATACTCAATACCTTGCCTACCCCTTTAAAGAGATCCCTCTTAATGGCAGAAAGTCAAAATAGAAATGAAACTCCAAAGTACTGCATAAGCAGAGAAACAGGAGAAAACCAAATAGGTGATATAACCGTGTAAGAAATGATGAGAAACAAAACAAGAAGTGCTTAAAATTAAGTAAAGGAACAATGGGTCTCTTAACTTGATGAACGTTTAGAGATGAGATTCCTCCTTTCTCTCTAATCGTAACACACTCATGAGTATTTGGAGGGTGCCTACTTCTCCAAAGACAGGTAACAGCATCATCTTTATTAGTGATATTCTTCTAGACCAATTCTTCCATCATTTTCTTAAAAACAACACACATACAAATGTTTGCAGCTAACTTTCCATCAAGGATTGCCTCTGATTAAAACATATAAAATGCCACATTCACTTGTTCTTTGGGTCCTTCTGGCCTAGGACTCTGCTTCTACCAGTGGCACAAGGACATGGAACAGCAGGCAAGTACAGCTGTTACCCTCCAGGAGCTCAAATTCAAGATAGAAAATGAAAATATACAAAAACAACCTTTTCACATCACCTTGATTTGGGCATCACTGTGCAGGAGACCTTTTGTTTTCATTCCCACCACACACACACACACACACACACACACACACACACACACACACACACACCCCACTCGAGTTTGAAGCAGAGACCCTTAGTACCTGTATTTGTGCATATCTTCTACAAGTTGAAAATAAAATCTTTGGCTTATCTTACATAGCAGCCTTTCAGCTGCCCTCTAATAAACCCTCCACAGACCCGTTAGGTTATTCTTGAAAAACAGTGAAGTATTTTAGTTACAGTCACACTGGATGCTATCTCATCTTGATTCAAATTCTCAAGAGATGACTCTTCCAACATCTTAAAAGGAAATCTATGATGTCTTTCAACTATTTTTATCTGACAAGCATGGAGGGCAGGATCACTGATGTGTTGTTCCCAGGAACGTACCAGCAGATTCACATTTTGACTTTAGTTTGTTGAAATCACATTCAAATTGATAACTTTTGTAAACAATTTGAGAAACTTCTAAGTCTGCTAGGAAGCAATGATTTTTAAACAGAAAATCAACTTACCAAAATTTAATAAAAATTGTACCAAATTTATAGAATAAAAGTGACTGACAAGCTATTGGTTTCAATCAGACCTGACAAATTAGTAGAGGAAAAGAAAAAACTTAAAAGTTTAAATCATCTTTGAACACATAAGTTTCCCTCTATTAACACTTCGGTTTAGTTTATATTTTAAATAATCTCACTAATTCAATGTTTACTGAATACCTATTCTAAAACTTCCAAGCACAAGTAGAAAGTTGAACACATTATGTACCTATTTTCAAAGGGCTTATAATCAATTGAGGAAAGATGAAAAATATTTTTTAGGGAAACAAGAAGCTAACACAGACTTGAGGAATCAGGAAAGCTTTTCTGAACAAATCCAGAGATTCGGCAGTCCAACCACCAGCATGATCCAGAACACATAAAAGCAAGGAGAAAAGCACAGACATGGAATGTATAGAGAACCACACAGTACTTGCAGATGTGGGAGAGCAGGACAGGTAAAATGGGCCACTTTCAGTGCCAAAATCTGAACTTGATCTTAATAGTGATGGGGCAAAACTGTATGATCTGTCATAGGAAAGCAGCAAAACAAGTGATATTTTAATTCATCTAATCTGGTCACTTTGTACCAGATGGAGCACAGGGGAAAGGTGACCTAGATAAAAGAGATATAACTGAAAGGCTGCTTAAATAATTTAGATATGAAGTAAAATTCACTAGAATAAAAAGGTAACAATGAAAATAGATTAAGGCATAACAAGTCAAAGAAGCTGTTCACAGGAAGATACAGGACTTTAAAACAGATTTGATCAAAAGGGTAAGGGACAGTCAAGAAGACTCCAAGGTTTTAAAAGTTCAAGAATGGTAATGCAACGGACAAAATGGGAAATTCAGGGAAAATTCAGGTAAATTAAATTAAATGGAAATACTCTACTTAATTCGTCTTTAAAGTAATTAAAGACTAGAACTCCAGGGGCACCTGGGTGGCGCAGTCAGTTAAGCTGATGACTCTTGATTTTGGCTCAGGTCATGGTCTCAATGTTCTGAGATTAAGTCTCATGTCAGGCTCAAGGCTCAGAGGATTCTCTCCCTCTTCTCCCCCCAACCATGCCCCCCCATAAATAAATAGATCTCAAAAAAAAAAAAAAAAAGACTAGAACTTCAAAGTTAGAATGGGGCCAAAATAACATGGAGATAGTAATATGCTCAGAGAAGGACGCCTGGGTGGCTCAGTCCATTGTCTGCCTTCAGCTCAGGTCATGATCCCAGGGTCCTGGGATTGAGTCCTGCATCAGGCTCCTTGCTCAGCAGGGACTCTGCTTCTCCCTGGCATGCTGCTCCCCCTGCTTGTGTTCTTGCTCTCTCTCTCTCTCTGACAAATAATAATAATAATAATAATAATAATAATAATAATAGGCTCAGAGTTTGAAGCAGTTGTAAATGTAGGACTAATCTCGTAAGAAAAGTCACAGTTTCAAAGAGGAATTGGTCAACATAGACAAATGACAAGAAAAAGTTAAAATAATTGAAAGGTAGTGAGTTATTGGTGACTATCACCACTTCGTGCTGCCTTCCAGTCCTCTCTGCAGTGAAAGGTGGCTTTAAAAACATCCTCATGGGGCACCTGGGTGGCTCAGTCGTTAAGCGTCTGCCTTCAGCTCAGGTCATGATCTCAGGGTCCTGGTATCGGGCCCCGCATTGGGCTCCCTGCTCAGCGGGAAGCCTGCTTCTCCCTCTCCCACTTCCCCTGCTTGTGTTCCCCTCTCTCGCTGTGTCTCTGTCAAATAAATAAATAAAATCTTAAAAAAAAAAAAAGAATTAACTTTTTAACATGCTATTTCCTTCC